AAAAAAAAAAAATTCCAAAAAGAAGACAGGCGCCAGACTGAACCCTTAACAAACCTTTTCGTCTTCGATGATCGGATCAACTCGATCGTGACCATGAAGTAGATGTATAGCATGGTCTTTTCCAACTTTGGCAATCGTGTGGATGACCTGAAGACAAGAAATGCTATTACCGTCTAGTGTACAATATATTACTANACCTTTTCGTCTTCGATGATCGGATCAACTCGATCGTGACCATGAAGTAGATGTATAGCATGGTCTTTTCCAACTTTGGCAATCGTGTGTATGACCTGAAGACAAGAAATGCTATTACCGTCTAGTGTATAATATATTCTTACATTACAAGTTCTAGTATTTTTTAAACTACCGTACCTTTCGACCGATGTGCTTCCAATGATGGATCGCCTGCTTACGTTGTTTCGCTCGAGTTTTCTTTGTCTGTTTGATAACCATCAAACCACGTACTTCTAACGCTGCGTCAGTCGTGTCGTTCAATTTTATACTGTATTCCAATTGGCTTGCAGCCAACTTTTCACGACCCACCGATCGTTCCAGGACCATCACGATTTGAGCGTACTGGAACGAAATGAGTGATTAGGTATGAAATCTCAGATTCCATGACTAGAGTGCATGACTCCTCTACCTATAATATGCAGCAATGTGACTTGGATTCTTATAGGAGCCAACTGATAAAAGTCTGCAGATCGCAGGCTCAGGCGATGCCTTCCGAGGGTCAATTAATAAAAAAGGCAAAGTTCCCTTTTGGGTTGAACCGGTCATCACCGAGCCGTTCTGAGGAAAAGAAAGGCCTGTTGGCGTAGAAGTAACAGAGATGTAGGCCTAATTGTCTCAGTAAAAAAAATACAGTTTTGTGCCGAGCAGACCATATCCAAGTTCGATTCCACTCGACTCCTAGGCTACAGTAGGACCGCAGGGTGTCAACAGAGGCCGTTCTAACTCGATCCGCTGCTGTGCAACAAATAGAGAAGAAAAGTTGCGCTTTGATTACTCAAGCCACATCGATTTTGAGCAACTTAAAAGGCCGTACCTGTTGTCGCCAAGCTTTTTCGGCTTGTGCGATTACAGTAGTATAGGTGTTACCCATCATAGCGATAAGAATGTTGATCATCATAATTGGCATTACAAACATATACAACACAAATAACGTCTTTGTCAGCACCTCGTAGTTGGCGCATGCAAACTCTTCATACTGAAAGTTGAAAATAACAAATAGTTTGAGCAAGCTTATTGGTTGTTTTTTTTTATCGCTGCACTACAAGTAGCACCAAAATCTTTAAACAGGTGGTCCTGCGAAGATTTCCTAATTGAGTGGAAAGAGGTCTGTGCCAAAATCATGGGAGTTTGGAGGTTCTTTGAATTACTTTGCTGACAGTGTCTGAAGTTCTCTATTCCCAACCACAAACACTGAACTTGCGAAAACGTTCCGCCCACTTACATCGTATCCTCCCATGCTGGCTCTGAACAACGTGATGAACGTTTCGATAAAGTTATCATAAGTGTAAATATCGTAGCCATCGACCGGACAGTGATATGGATTCGAAGAGTTGAGCTGTTGTTTAGCGTCCATGTCTTTACCGACAAAATAGAAAACTGAAACATTGCTATAATTACAGTGCGAATACGATAGCCGGATATACGGTTCACTAACAAGTGAATCACTGCATTGTAAGTAGTTTTTGGGATAAGTTGAGGCAGTGTTTACGATTGAAAGCCTTGAATGGAATGTCGCAAGGTGAATTAAATGTCTAAGAATTGTGGTGGGCAAAGAGCAAAGTGAAGACTTTTCTCATATATCCATTATAAGCCCATCCGTAGAAAAACAATAAATCGATTACTGTTGATTGAATTTCGTAATATGAATCAATAGTTCGTGAACAAACCTTGAGAGAATGATATGAGAAAGATGGCTGAAATGATAGCGAACCGCATCATGTCACCAGCAATCATACTGTAGATCATTTGCACAAACGGACCGGTAAGTTTGGCACTTCTAAAATNGGATAGGATTGAGACCTGACCCCAAGCAGATGTAGGAGCTCAAAATGTTTTAAACAAATTTCCGATTTATGAAAATCACCCGATGGCTCGTTTATGCCTTTTTTCTCCGTCTAAGTAAGATTCACCAACAATCTTATATGGAGAAGGATTTTGGTGACTCCCGGGAAGGATCTAATCCAAAGAATTAGGCATGACGGCAAGGATAACAGGCATCGCCTCTTGCCACTGAGCTATCGGCTGCTTTTTTCGACTTCATGAAAAAGCTTACCTAGCGAAAAACAGTAAAAATATCCATGAACCAGGCAAGGCGAACACAAACAGAGCCTCTTCAAGTTCATGAAGTTTAAGTATACGAAATGGTATACACAATAGTATACAAATGTTAGCTACACAAAATACTGCTTTTGCTGGAACCGTTTTCTGAAAACGTGATGATCAATCAATAAAATACGTGTAATAATTTTCGCTAGAAATCGATAAACGTACCAAGTTCCTAAAATACCCGGTTATTCCTTGAGTACGAAGCTCTCCCAATTGTTGAAAAAATACAAAGAATACACAATTCAAAATAGTTAATATTTCACAAATAGTACGAATCTGAAAAGGACCATTTCAATTAAGGTATGAAAATTGCATGCTGTAGCTAAGGCTAGATTTCAAGAGATTTTGAGACAAATTCTTTATGAAATTCATGAAAAAGTTCAGCATTGTCGTTCGCAAAAAAGCAGGCACAATCAAATTGACAGCAGCGCAACCGCTCGCATCTATAATACATAAATAGCACAAGCGATTGGCCTCTTCTTGAGTTACAGCCACCACGAATTCGTGGGCACGTACTCAGTGGGAACTCAAAAAACTCACCCAGTCGTCCCATTCGGGTTCATTCATATACAGACGTTTAACTTCTGTTGGTCGGACGTATACGACAATTGACAAGGTTATTAATTGAATGATGAGCAAAGCCAGACGTTCGATTAGCTTCCGCTGGAATTATCGATTTTATTGATTAGCCTTTGTTACGATACTATAGAAACAATACATTATGTTTATCACTACAAAACTCTACTACTATGAACCTGACTGTTCAATTTGTTTTTTCGAATAGTGGTTAACGAATGAAAGATAATAGATCAAAGAGCTTTGATCTTGCCACGCGGCATTTGCAGGAAAGTAGAGTGCGCTCTGCTTCTCTGGCTTCTAACCTTGTGCTCAGTCGGAAAATATAGGCAGTAATCTCAAGCTTTCGCTATCGCTTATTCCTTCAAGATATTTCAAATCTCCCAGGAAACTCGCTGCTGTGGTCAACGACTTTCCTGTTTCATCCCCTCCGTCCCAAAATATCCTATTGGGTGGGCGTTGAGGGTAAACCAGTAATTTAGGAAACAAATGTTGCCTACCTATCGTTTATCACTCCTCCTCCCTCTTATTCCTTTTTAAATCGGTTTTTAGGCATATGTGTAGGGATACAAAAACTTTGATGCACTTGAAAGCTTCCATCGTTCTGAGCAACATCCGGGTGCATGGCGCACTTTGGAAGAACTGACTACTTCATACGGACGTATCCCCTCTTATGCAAATTCTTTGTATCCCAGGAATGCCGTCTAAGGAAGTAATTCAGTTGGGTTTTCTCAGAATGTCGTCAAGCCCTCTGTAATTACGGATTAACTGTGAGAAAGGACGAGCATGTACGTGACAAAAGCTACATACCATTGCAAATGCTTTCCATTTGTCGGCGAGTAAACGCTGAATCACTTCACTACCGATCATGTCCAAATGTTCAGCTGTACTACCATTAATGACGGTCATCAGAGCAGAATCGTAGTCTGAAAACATCAATTTTCGCTCTTTTATTGATTTTACAGAGCAAAATCCATAATGCAGGAAGGATAAGCATGACACTAATCGATCTCTGATGAAAGTCAAATTACCTTCGAGAAAACGCGCGAATTGACGCCAACTGCGTTCTTTGCTTAGTCGGCTTTAGGATGTAGAAAGCTTGGACTACGCTTGTCGCTTATGTGAATAGAAGAAAGAGACGCGCGCGGCTGCAACGCAGCCAGCGGGCTTTGAAATGGCGCGCTCCGCTCATGAAGCGATCACGTTTTGATTAGCACCTTTGTGGAAGTTCTAGTAGCAGTACATCTCTCCAATTTAACAAACAAATTATTTTTACTTTATTTCATTATTTTTTTCTTAATTCTGACTAATTAGTGATCACTGTTCTATTTCTGTTTAAAAAAAACCAAATTTCGGGAAACCTACTCGTTGATCCATCTGGTTGTATAGTGTCCAGAGTGTTGAGGGGATATGCCGAACAGGTCATATCGGAGAAACGCCAGAATTCCTAAATAGTCAGCTTGAATTCCTCGGTTTTCCGTTCCGGGACCATAACCTTTATGCAACCTGACTTACCACTTTCATCAACTCCAACATTTCTTCGAAAATATGCTTTCGACCGAGTTTAGTGGCCAGAGTCAATGGAGTGAGACCTGCGTAATTGACCACATGTGGATCGGCTGGTTTCGCCCAATGTCGTACAGCATATGAGTACATCGACTGTAATAACAAGGATTACGGTGTCATAAGGGCTACGGTAGCTACAAGCATCATGTGGTGGCCAACAAATTGATAAAGTAACCTCGAAGGAGATCTAGAAGATTCGAAATCCCCCCTCTCACTGATATTCAACATTTTTCTTATTCCGAGTGCATCATACGGGAAAAAACCAAACCCAAATGATCAATAAAAATGCAAAAATTCGATGAAGGACTTTATCGATTGGTAAAGTGCGAGTTCTTGTTTACTGGTTTCTTACTCGAGTCGTAAACACAAACATATAATGATTGACTATGAACTGACACTGCTGTAGCTGATGACACACATATGAAGTATGGTGTTGCCAAATGAGTCCTGCAGGTTTGGATTGGCTCCATGCTGAATCAGCAGATCGTAGATGTCCTTGTTGGCGAAACAAGCAGCAAACGCAAGCGGATACTCCCCGTAATAGGCGTAACCTAAGACAAATTTGTTTATCGAAATGAACTACCCGACAGTTCTACCTTCATCTGGCATTTGTCCAAGACCCATCGTCCCCCGAGGAAATCAAAGCCCACCTTGATAGTCAGTGACTTTGTTAGTTGCCTTGAAGTCTTCGGGTAGGAAGAAGTTCCCACATGCTCGGGCACTCACATCGGCGTTGTTGTTAAGAAGCAGTTGAACCGTCTCGTAGTCGTCGTGGACGATTGCCAAATGCAAAGCCGATTGACCTAAACCAGAAATTTCTTGTTTTTCGCGGACGTTCGCTGTCCCAGAGGGACTAACCATAAAAACATGGGTACAAACTCTTACCCAAATTACCTCATTGAAATAGTAGTAATGGTAATGATAAGTGACAAAAAGTCTTACCAAACATCTCATCACCCATGTAGATGTCATTGGCTAGGCCCGGATAGCGTTTGAGCAGAATACGGGCAATCTCATAACATACCTGCTCCTCACTGAAACAAAGCAAATACCGTCGTGAGCTACTGAATGTATTCTGAAGTCGCGAACATGATCCTGGTGACCAGAAAATTCACCCGGATCCCTCCGCCCACATCCCAAACAGAAGTGCTTTGGAACATGGGGGTGGAACAGCGATTTGAGATGGATCCAATGTATGTTTATGAAGTGTATGACACTTTTATGGAGTGTATGACATCATAAATGTAAGCTTTGAGTACTGTAGGAAGGCAGTAACCAACCAGCGGCTGCTGATGGAATAAGATGTCCTACCCATACATGAAGACTTACCGGTTAAGAAGCAAATGAATAATATTTTCGCCATCGACACCTCGTTTATTCAATTTCCATAGAGCATAGTGTTCTTTGAACTTGGTCTCCTGCATGTCCAAGCCGTTTACATCGTTGAGGCCAAGTTGCACGCTCTGTAATGAGACGGTCTTCTTAGTGTTCTACTGAGGAGAGATTTGGATTCGACAGTAGGGTCTTATTTTGGACTACTAGGGACGGTTCTGTTTTATGGCGACAACAGACTCTGCAGAAAACGGATCAGAGCTATCCCCTCCATCACGCTACAGGATGGGGAGAGTCAGGGAAACTTGAAGAATCCATAAGAGGGATCTCCACGGGGTATTGCTTCGAGGGAATACCGTTCATAGAGGGACATTAGGTCCTAAATGATATTGGAGAGTCACTTACCACTCCCTTCTTCCATTTCACATAGTCCTGGACTTTAATCAGCTGCGGTTCACGTCCTTCACTGTACAACATCGATGTCATTTTTTCGTCGGCAAACTTCAGTACACCATCTTCACCATCTCTTTCATAGATACTTATGAGTTCTCCACCTGAAAGACTCTCCATCAATCGATAAGCACATCCAATCAATAAACACCCTTCAATCTGGTCAAATGCAAGTGGCAGCTAGTCGACGGGAGACTAGAAGTTTCACCTATTATTTTGTTATTATGTGGCCCTGGCAGTCTCTCTTCTCTTTAGCCTTTCCTGCTCAAGCGATTTTGAGCCTCACCCCNCCCCCCCCCCCCCCCCCCCTATCTAAAGAAACTGTGATTGAACTCAGGTACACGGGACGAATTTCAGCCTGAATGCCACTGCGATACAGCATTCATAATGTTCCTGTCGTATCCGCTGGGCCTACATCTACCAGCCTCAGATCGAATCCAAGCCATGTCAAGAAGCGCCCTGAAGCAGCTGGACTGCTTAGCTCGGACCAGGCCTGTATGATGTACCAGAAACGCTTGACTCTGAAATGAATGGTCCTGTCCTCTTTGACATTCGTATTTCAGGTATTAATGGGTCTCGCTTTTGGTGGGATATGTCCACTACCCTAAGACTGAACCTAATGTCATAGTGTCTCCCTCCCCTGGTACCCTTATTCACTATGTACCCATGTTTGTGCTCGTATTGAAACGGGCGTCCCCCTCGCCTTGGGTAACCAATAGTAACAAGCCGTCACTGCTGTAAGGCGGTGACAATGCGAAATTGAATTCATGAAACTATGACGACATATCTTATTAGCCATATGGAAATGTAAGACTTGACGGAAAAACACTATGGGGCAGCTACTATGAGGGAAGAACTGCTCAATATCGAGATGCGCCACATATTTCACTTTTTCTGGAATGTTGTAAACGATTGACAGTGAGTTAAGGCATTCTAAACTTGTCCGGGCTACTGCTAGTTAAGTTTGTTTATCTTTCCAAACGTCGGTGTAATTCAATGGCCCTACAGGGAGGGAAAGGCTGACTCCTTAGGCTTAGCGGCTCTATTATAAAGGCATCCAGAAGTTTTTGAAGTGGAAACATGTCCTTGTATGAACACCTACCTTTTCTTACGCCAACCCATTTATAAAGGTGATTCTTTTCACGTTCACGATATAGGTTACTCCACTTCTCGTCTGGATCGAAGGCCAACTGAAAAATCGATTTATCGATTTCCAGTCTTTTTCTTGTCAATTGCTCTTTTTTCCCAAATTTTCTAAATTACACTTTCTTCGAAGAAAAATGCTATTGTGTAGCTCAAAAATGCATAGCGAGTATTGAAGAGAACATAAGTGGGAGCATAGAATGATTCAGGGAGTAATGCAAATAAAAAAAAAGCAAGACAAAATTTGAAAACGGCAAAAAATTAAAAGAAAAATGAAAATGAAATGACAAAGATGGAGGCAGATGGAATGAACATGGATGAGAAGACCGGGAGTAAAAGGGATGAGTTAAATCCACTGCTATGTATCGGGCCAGAAAGAAAACATGGGAGGAAATAAGGTGATTACAGGGGAGAATGAAGAAGAAATAGCAGTAAAAGTGAAAGTAGGCAGTTGAAAGGGTAAGCAGTCAATGGAAACCCAGAAGGAGGCGAGAAAGGGTGCAATTTGGAAAACCAGGGTAGGAACTTGTTGAGATGGGTGAATGAAGAATGAAAAGACGACAAGAGGAAAGAATGAGCAAACAAAGTCGACTGAAGGTCAGAGTAAGCGACTCAAACTCAAAAGTAATGTGGAATATATAAAGATGAGCAGGAAACCGTATCATGATAAGGAACAAAGGATTTCTTCAGAGGACCGGACTGACCTGGACTCCGTCGCCTCGTGGCTCAGTTTTGTGCCGGGAGGCTAGCGCTCCCATTCAAATCCACTGCGATCGGATTTTTGTAGCGATTTCGCCCTCACTGAATTTCAAAAGAATTTCAGACAAAATATGGTACAAAAAGGAGTTTGGAAGAGAGACGCGTTTAAGAAAAATCTAGTCCGGAAACGAAAATGAAAACGTTCGAGTTATTGCCATCAAAAAGTGGTGCCTCCGCTAACAATAAGTCGATTATCTAAAGTACTGGACGAACAGCATTAGATGAATAGGGAGTAAAAAGTTTTCTGATGGTACAGGTTGAAGTACATACAACTCTGACGAATGAGAAGGACGAACGTACGAACCATGAAGAGGATGGGCCATGCATTTGTCCTACAAACTGTAGAGGTAACTGAATACGTAAGTGACCTTTAGAATTTACTATTCTCGGTCCCATAATCCTTTTAATAGGTCTTATACTAGCTCTTTCATTTCTTATGGAAGATTATTTGATTCCCTAACCATTTATACTCTATATAAGTCATTTGCACTGCATTCGCATCACGCCAAGAAGTCATACTTATCATACCCATACCCACCGGATACGTGCACCAAAATGTATTAGGTTGATGCATAATTATTGCGGATTTTCTCGCGGCTTCTTTTCTCTGATAAAATTTAACTTTCGAATTCGGGATTTTCGTAGAAATAATCTTCTCGCTTTCCTTAACAGAAGTATGTCTGTAATGTCATCTTCATATNCGCCAAATTATGCTCTATTACTTGGAGAAATGTTGGAAGACGGCCAATCATAACGTGATCTCAACGAGCTTCTCGGAGGTGGAACAGTCAGCCAAAGCCCAATAAGGAATGGAATTTGCTTCTACGGTCGCCTTATTCACCAACAGAAACTCCTATGGATTATCACGTTGATCGCAGGTTGAAAAATTGGTTAACGAACACAACTTTCGACGAAGTGGATAGCTTGATGGCCAACGTTAAGGTGTAATCGCCTCCAAAAATCGAAATTTTTTCGCCTGCGGAATCCAAGCACTTAGCAAATGGGAAGCAGTGCTTGACGTGGTGGATATGTTCTGGAGCAATCATTTGAACATCTCTTTGCTAGATATTTCTATCGTTTCTTCATGTAAAATTTGTTGAAAAAATCCGCAATAATTATGCATCAATCTAATATTATCGATTTTGCGTACTGTTACGTGGTCTGGAAACGAATCCAGTAAAACGAAAAGTGCCGAACCCTATTGTTTACGTTTTCACCTGGCAAATTAATTTAAAAAAGTAAGCGTTGCTCCCGAATGATTGTGGATCATATCTGTGAAAGGAAGGCAAGGGGAAGGGACCTTCGAGCCTTTAAATCTGTTGGAGACCTTTCCTTTATTTCGAGGACCTTTGAACTTGCCTATATTTCTTAACTAGTTCACTTTATCCTGGAAGTCCTTTGTCAAAGCAAAGGCAGTTCCAATTCCCTCAATTGTCTTGTATTCAAGACAGGATGCACCTTATTTTAGCTACGGTATTTTGATGCAGACAAACATCGGAGCTGAAGGGATGCCAGCAGCCCATCGGTCAAGTAGAAATCAAGCGATCCTGTCGAAGACTGGCAGGATTGACTGAGCTGGAAATCGTCCTCTCTTGAAGGCCTTTGTAATGGCCAGATATCAGTCAGAGCTCTGAATGATTTCTAGCCGGAGCCCAGTGAGGAAGATCAAAAGTTGCCAACGATACCGATGGGTGGTAAAGGTGCTACGACGATTCATTTCATTTATCGCGTCTACCTTCTAAACAAACAAAAAAAACAAACAAATAAACCTCACAGTAAGCGATCAACAGAATTTATATTTACTTTTTCAAGCGCTTTCTGCTGTGAGCTTACATTACCCCATTCTCTTCGACTGCTCGAAGAATCAGAAAAGTCAGCCTAACCAGGAAACCGTTGCGCCGTTGCCATAGAATCATGACATTGAGAACCTTCCTGGAATGCTGCACCGCAGAAACCCTTAGCATACCATGCGTGGAACGATTTCAAGGGACAACAGGAAGTCACTACGGGCATGAGGCAACCTAAAATCTCATGAACTACCGTGTTTCTGCTCCTTCAAGAACAACTCCTAATCGAGGAATAATCTGTTTTTGTTTGTGCTACCCCTCCCCGGTCGTAAAGGGTCACTTCCAAAATGCAGTGACTTATAAAATAACGAGAAGATACTCGAAAGATCATTCTGTATTTGGAATCGCAATTCATCACACCCATTACCAACCCCTCTCCCATCCCCATGTCAACAATGTCGCCCACATGCTTTCCATGTTGTTTAATTACACAAATAGACGTGCAAATTAAAAAAAGTGCACATCACGCACATCCACCCCCATGACCGTGTCCCTGCTCATATGAAATGCTACCTCCCTCGTGTGGCAAGGGAATTCAAAATTTTCGACGAGTTTTTCAGTGGCCCACGGTTGGCTCAACTTACTTTAAACGCTTTTTCATAGTTTTTCAGCGCAAATACCCTATTTTTGATCGGCGAAATGTGTGTAGAGCCAACTACGCAAAAACCGTAGTCGCAGTGATTTCCTTCATCCACAAATCTCCATATGGTCATTCGCACAGAAGATTTATTGAATTTTTCGACACCTTGTTACTGTGGACGAAGGTGTAAATGTTGTGCAAACGTATACTGGCTACAGGGCAAGCTCAACAGCCCTGCAATGATACGTAAACATAAATAAAGTATGTGATTGGAATAAGCAAAAACATGCCAACACCTTAGGAAGCTCCGGGCTTTGATCCTTTCACATGAATTTGGGACTTTTTGACCGACGCTGAAGGAATGTAGGGTTCAGTTTGCCAGGGTGAGTGTAGATCCAGTGCTTGAAGCACTTTGAAAAAAATCAGCGCTTTACCTCCACATTTCTACGAAGAGTCACTAAAACCTCGGGAGAAAGCGGCGCATGACGGACTAAGATTTTACAGTGAACAATCAAATTGCCACTTGCATTGTTTCGAGCAAGTATCTGGAGAAAACACAAAGGGGTGTCAAAAAAGCTGAGACAACTAGCAAAGAATCTTGGCAGGCTCTCTGCATGGCAACAGTATTTGCACCACCTACGCTTTCTACATTTGTATGTCCGTACCCTTTGCAGTATTTACGTAGTTGGCTGCTCAAATAAAACGTTACCAATGTTTCCTGAGAGGAAAATGGTATGCTTTGAAGATATCTGTAATCCAAAAGTGTCAGCCTTGAAAAGCCATAACCCTTATATAGAATGGGCATCAGATCGTCCAATGTACACTGATTTCTTCATACTGGCTCTAAGCAGGCGTTAAATTCTCATGAGAAAATCAAAAAAGCAGAAATCTATATTCAGGAACAAAAGAACAAAATATAAAGAATTTTTCCAGATCCCCAGCCAGGGCTTCGGAAGCATATTCTTTTGCTCCGGATCGATTTTAACTTTTTAGCATAAGCCCGTGGTTTAAGGACTACTCTTCTTGTAGGTCGAACACCTCTCGATTATGACGCCGAAGACTTCTGTTACCGCGATGGACCTCGATGCATCTGCCTGCTCAACAATAGACGGGCTGTGCCATCCATCTCTTCAACTTCCACGATTCCTGAGTACCTGCTGCCATGTTCTTCTTCTTCTCCCTAACGNTAATCTCACGGAAACCCAGGGTCTGTTGTTACTATTAGCCGCCTCCATTCCAATCTATCTACAGCATCTTCAGGGGAGACGGGTGTTAGGAACGGTTTTGGGTAATCGATTCGCCGCACGCGGCTGTCGCGGACCATTCATTCGCCGTTATTACAGCTCTAGCGTTCTTCATACAGCTCAATCGATATGCGATCATTATTTTATGCATAATTCTACTATTAGTACTTTTGTTCTTGTATTTCTTACCTACTGCTGCATCCTGCTACATTCCTCCGCGCGCGACGCCCCTCTCACCGCGACGCGACCATTTCGTTCCTAATGCACCGCACCCCATCTTCAGCTGCCACCTTAATTTCGTTCAGGTCCACGCCTAGCCACCGACACAGCCAGGTTTCATTCACTGCTCATTCACTACCTGGTGAACGCACGGGAGACAGAAGGTGCCATCTGAATGTCATAATGACGGAGAGGATGAAAAGGTAGAGCAGCTAAGGGACAGGTAGGATCGCTTCATCAGGAATGTTCCAGTGCGAGTTTGTAGTGCAGGCGCATTCCAGTCTAGGCAGAATCGCAAAAACCTCGTGACAAGCATATCGAGCAAAGTCAGCGAAGCACCTCAGACAATCTTAAAGAACTTGGCTGGGCTCGCTCTATCCCAGACAAGTTTTTACCAGGCCCTTCCTACGCATCACAGAGTTTTCGTGGTCGATATTTTTGCTATGGGAGAGATGTTCCATGTGACTAATACATCTAGAACGTACTATTCTATTTGTGGGCCGCCATGCACTCGCTGTCTGTCCTCAATTGTATGGAACCCATTTTATGTTCCCAATTCAATAATATCAGCTGTTTTATGTGGTCACAATCAACTCAGCAACCGTCCTTCCACCTCTCGGTTTTCAACACCTAAGCTGTCGAAATGCACCTGCTTAAAGGAAAGAACCGTTACCGACTAATTGTTTGGTTCACTAGACCCAATCATCATACATACAATCGGGTTGGCATTGAGGAGGAAGGTTAGAGAAGGAAAGGAATGGGGGTCGTACCAACGAAAAACAGCGCTGAGCAGGACTTGTCGCATGTTCCAAACATCGATCCATTTTAATCAGGCCAGAAAAAAACCTCTCAAATTGTCATTTAAAGCAATCAGGAATGTGAGAGCAG